TGGCTCCATAATCAAAGTTGCTTTCACATATAAGTTACTTCAGTGTTACCTAGAGAAATGAGTCAGAACTCTAAGCAGGCAGAAATATTTGTGTTGTTAAGGGGAAAGGGGCATTTATTTATTTCACTGCCAGGAAGATACCAAAAAAAAAAATCAAAAATTGCACTAAGAACTATGAAAACAATTCTGTATATTGCAGTAATATAAACCTAGAAACCTGTGTGGAAAAGAAACAGAGGCTTGAGGCATCAGGAAACACCTGGCAAAACTAGCCCAAGGAGTCGGGTGACTGCTGTTGAGTACAGTCATGTTCCAAAGCTGAAAGCAAGTGGGAAATTAATAAATCACTTCTCAAGCTCTCAGTAATCAGCAGCTGACGATATGTTCCTGGACCTGGGGAAAAGAAGATCCCTAGTTGAAGAGAAAATGTGGGACAACAGGGATGTCTTTCCTGAGCTTGCAGGAGACTGGAATTGTGTCTGTAGAGCTCCTGTCACAGAAATGCATCCTCTGTTACGGATTTACCGTGTCTGCTTTCCCTCTTCACTGCAGGACACTGTGAACGCCTTGGCCTCCGTTCTCGCCTTTTGCTTTGTGTGTGGGACTGTTCCTCCCACTGCTGCCATTTGGTTCACAGGCCAACCAGAGGGATCCGGTGTTTGACCGGTATTAGTAGTGTTTCAGGCCCCAGTTCTCTCGTCATCAGGATTTGACCATCTGATATTGGGAAGCCTATTTTAAGACTTTGATTTCTGAGCGGAGGGCTGTGTTTGTGCCTGGCAACCTTGGCCTGTTCTGCAGGGAAGTCAGTCATTTATGGAACTTGCTGAAAATGTGACTTGTTTACATCTGTGCTTTTTAATGGAGATTTTTCTGAGGTAGTGCTTTCATCCATTAGCTTTTAAACACGCTTACTTTTTTATATATAATTTTACATTGCAGTTGATGGGTTTTTATTCTGTATTTTGGCCTTATGTTTGTCAAGACCAAGGTTAAGAATTTTAGGTGATTTGTAATGATGTGATTCCTGCTGTGTATATTGAAGCTTTAAGTAGAACCGTGGGGAAACACAGCAATCCATCACCAGCTGCTTCAGCCTCTCATCCCCCTGCTCTCTATGCTCTGAGAACACTCATTTTTACCTCACGGGTTTTCCCACTTCCAGTCTCATTCCCAAACCAATTTCCACTGTTTAGAGTGCTGTTTAGGAGGTGGAAATTTCAATTCCGTTGGTTCTGTTCAAAAGCTTAAAGAAAAAAAAAAAAAAAAAACACACACAAACAAACAAACCACAAACCAGAACACCTGGAATAAGAGGATTTGATCAGAGTATATTTTTAAAAGTTGAATGGTTTGAGAATAATTGCACTAACAAAGGAGATGTTTCAAAGTTAAGATAATTTCTCTTCACCTGGTTGATGCAAGTGATATTTCTGTTAACTGAAACTTAGTACAGTGACCAGAGATGCTGGGTGCCTCTCTTCTGGAAAACTGAACATGGTGCCTCAGAGCTTCTTAGAGGGCACACACTCAGTTGTATGTGTCTCTCACTGACACCACACGAAGTTGGAGGATCTCAAAATTACCAGATAATTTTGATGATCTGAAAATGATAGAAACTGCAGAAACTGAGCCCACCAGTGGGAGGGAGAGTAGAATTTCTCTCCATCTCGAACGTGGGAGGAGGAATGGAGTAGAAGCCACCTATTAGAGCTTACAGGAAATAGAAGTACGAATATAAATGGGTATAAACTAGGCATGAGCAGATCCAGTCCTGAGTAAATACCTATGCACTGTAGCCCACTCATGGTACTTTCACATCGTCATACATATATTTGTGGTTTATATTAAAAAGGAGGACCAATAGCATTTTTCTAAGTCACTTATTTAAAAATACATTTATATGGTATGAGCTGTATAGCACAGGCCAGCAGTAGAAAAGGACTCGGAGCATGTCTCTGTTCTTATGTCAATAAAAAGTGCACACCTACTGGGCATTAGGAACAAGTTTAATTTCAAATCCGTATTTTCTACATTTGTCATTTTCTATCACAACATGGAGGTTATTTAAGTGTAACTTTGCTGGAGAATATTTAGCAGAATGCTGTTCTCCATGGAAACCATTTTTTTGAGGGGGGAGTGGGGGGCAGTGGGGAAACTATATCAAATACTTTGGATTTATTGTGTCGTCTTTTTTTTTTTTTTTTTTTTCAGTTTGTTAACTGATCTCTTGCTTCTGGGAGCACCGTGTCTGTCCTACATATAGTTTAGAGGAATTAGGATGAGCTCTAATTTACACTTGTTTAACTACAGATGCATCCCCACTGCTATTTGTTTATCTCACATTTATTACACTCTTCCAAATTCAAGTTAAGCACTCAGGGGTTTTTTCTAGTAACGCTAATGGAGGAGAAGAGATGCATTATATCTGAATAATGTATTATGATGATACAATTTGGGTCTCTTAGCTCTAACCGAGACCAGTCCTGCCTTACATTATTTATAATTTACACACACCTTCCTGAATATTTTTATGTAAATATTTAATATAGAAAGTGAGTTAACTCTTTCGTGTTTGAGATTTCCAGTCAAAAAACAGGAAAGGATGCAAGAGGGCATGCAAACATCCCACCCAAAGTAAGCAGATGGCCAGTCTTGTTTATTTACAGAAATTAAGAGAGAAACATGACAGATTACAGAGGAAAAATGTATGCTGGCATAAGACCAAATCCTTTTTACTGTTTTGCTTCCGAACTACTCTTACTAAAGTGAATGAATGTTGACTACAGACAGTGTATTTGTGGACACTTGGCTGGTACCATTTGCAACACTGTGTTTCTGATCTTGGCTGTTTTCAGACACATTTTATCTGTTGGTGTTTTGCTCATTTGCTACCAATATATCCATTTGAGAAACGCACCAGGGGTGCCCTCCAGACAAATCAGCAGACTCCTTTTCTTGCAGCCTCTCTAATGTCTGAATTTGCCAACAAAAATAATAAGTAATTTCTTGGTGACCTTGATTGCTCCTATCTTCTTTTTTCTGACCCAAAGTATATACAGAATGACAATAATATTCCACCACCACATGGCAAGATTTATAATTTTAAGTTTTTTAATGTGTCGGCTGGTGAACCCTTATTTTCCCCATCTTCAGGAACTCAACTTACCCTCCACACTGATTTGAAGAGGTAAAAGCTTTCCACTTAGAACCACCCCAAGAGACAAACTGTTGAAAGTTACAGGAGAAATGTTACATGCAGCACAATATTCCTCAGTCAGCTGTATGAGCTACAGCAGCTGCGTACAACAGAGAGAAATGTATTCTTGTGATACAAAGACTAGCAATAACATTGATTTTTCCTAGACTCTTCTCATGTGGGATATAAAAAAGGTTTGAACTCATGACGTTAATGAGTTCTACAGTCTAAAGTGAGTAGTTTTGGTAATCCTTTGCCATTTTGAGACCACAAAGTGTCAGCGAGAAGTGTGAAAGTCTTTGAAATGACAACATGCCTACTGTACATATAGTGCCTTGGAGTTATTACCAAGCAATTTTACATCTTTTTGTCCTCACAACATGTTAGGAGCAGTATTAAATTATAAGAGGCTACCGCACATTACTCTTGCTAGTAGACCTTTATGATTCAGTGGCCTTGTGTTCTGCTATGCGTGACTGGTGCCCTAAGCAGAGTCCCTCTAAGCTGGTATCTTACTATTTGACATCATCAGCAAGAAGATGCTAGGGAAACATATAAGAAGCAGGACAGGGTTGGGCAAAGCTATCCTGCCTGTACAAAGCCTTGAGCAAAACCGTCGGATTTTTGAATTAGCTTTGCTTTGAGTAGATGTAGGATCAGATGACCTCCAAGGTCCTTTCCAACCTAAATGATTATGATTTTAATTATAAAGTGATCTCTTCCCTCTTACACACCGTGGTTCAATGGATTCCCTAGCATCAAGTTGTATGTGGAGAATGTCATGAGTTTGTCTAATCCTTTCCTAGTAGCTCTTTGTAATTAATGCTTCCATGACAGCATGTGACAGTGTTTCACAATTATATGCTGCAGGAAAAAAATGCTTCTTTCCTTCTCACAAATGCTCACAAATGCTCTTCCTGACCATTCTTGAAGGTTAAGAGGGGAAGACACCTAGCTTTTATGTTGGGGTAATGGTAAACAATCATTCATTTTCCCCAAACTGATTTACAGGCTGCTATCATTGTCCTCAGTTGCTCATTTCTGCAAGCTAAGCATCCTAAATCTATTGAATCTCATAAAGAAGGGTGGTATTATTTCATAATGCTTGATCATCTTGGTCACTTTGTTGTACTTCTGTAGGTCTACTCTGTCCTTTTAGTGAGGAGGTGATGTATAAAGTAGCATAAAGTGGGGGTGTGTGTGTTTTGGTTTGCTCTTTATCTTTTCCATAAAGAAGAGTATCATCATCCACTGAAAGTCAACAGCAATGTAAATCTTTATTAAACTATTTTTCCTACTGTCAGAGGGGTCTGTCAAGTTTTAAGAGCTCAGCTAGTCACCTTGAATGTAGTTTGCATCTACTCTTCTGTTTTGCTTCTGATACAGCATCAGAAACCTCTATGAACTTCATACTTTTTAGATTAGTTTTTCTCCTGCTCTTTTACACTGCTTTGTGATGCATGTTTACACAAAATCTGACTCTGAAATGATGAGGATAAAGTGCCCCGTTTATTGACATCCTCAGGCATAAACATTGGCGTCAGGAAACACAAAAATGTTGAAGAGTGTGTTTTTTGCAATATTATGTGTTTCTGTGCACAGGACTGTTGAAATGCTACAGCTGCGTTTAGGATTCAGCTCATTTCACATCCATAAAAAATATGAACAAACTTATTCCTCATAGCTAGACAGAAGCTATGTGTGTTATACAGAATTTGATGGATTATTTAACAGCATGACAACGTGGCTGCACTTTGGCATTGAGCACATGATCTCTTTTAACTTCCTTGTATTGTTTCAGGATCTCCAGATGGAGTATGCCAGGTAAGCATTGCTGACCCCCTGCTTCCCTTTCCAACTTGCCCCTGCTTTTGTGAAACATTATCATATACTTAATATGTAAATTGTTGCTACTTTTCAGCTTGGAATTCAGCATCTGTTTAGAGATGGAATTAACTACCTGTTAATAGGAGCACAAGTCTTCAGTCTTCTGAGGTAAATTGTGTTGATTGTTAGCTTAATTAAAGCTAAAATTTAGTTGTAGCAGAAGAGCAAGGTACAGCTGGAACAGCAGGGGTTGGCTGATGGACAGAAGTTTTGCAGGCTGTACTTGTGTTAGTCTGAGACACTTTGCTTCCTTATTTCTGCTGAATTAAATCCTCACTTAAAGCCCAGAGGTTTGGGCTTTGTACAGGTGAGTTTCAGTGTTGGGGTGTAATATGAGAATTGAGAGGGGAATCAAACATGAAGAAATTTTCTGCTTTGTGATGAGAAGAGCTAATGGCAAAGCCCAGTGAAGTAAGCGGTTGATGGAGTTTCTGACCAGACATGCTCTATGCTGTGTTGCCTGCTGCTGGGTGAGTCTTAACTGGTTCTCAAGGAAATGTTTGTAGTAAACATGTAAGACACTGCAAGAAAAGGTTTAAAGAGCTTTCTGTAAAGCACTGTGGTCTGTTAGAATAAAGTAGATTGTCTTTACTAAGTGAAATATTCATTTTTTTTTTTACTATTATGTACCTGTCTGTGCATCCAGGGAAACTGAAGGGGTTAGTACAGCTGGAGTTTAAGTGCCTCACCTTGGGGAAACCATCTTTGTGAATATGGTGCATCTCTGATGGAAACTAAATATTGATCTACACGGATCAAGACTGATCTAGCATGGCTCTTCTAATGTAGGTGTTGTGCTTTTTATTCAGATATGACAGTGTGATCAAGGAAAACCCTTCTCTTAAATTACCATCTCCCTTTACCTCTATAAGTTCTGGACAATCTCTCATGGCAGAACATGGCAAAACTGGCATTGCTGTCTGTTTTGGGAATTGCATCTGAGGCAGCAAACCTTTCTGAAGACTAGTGAAATACAATGAGCTTCTGTGTCAGCCGTGCTGGTCATACATGTGCATGCCTCTGGGGATCTGAGGGATTACTGTTTTTTTCTTCACCCTGCTGCTTTATGTGGAGAGGTGCCTTCAAATTGTATCTGTTATTTTACAAACATACCTGTCACGTTGCAGAAGCAGCACCTACTTCCTGCATTGGCCCCTGTTTAGTTACTGATACCTACATGCTGTTAGTCTGATGTCCCACCAGGCTAGTGAGGGAACATAACATAGGAAAATTTTCCAGTGAGGGATATAAGGAATGAAAAATGAGGATAGAAATGACCATGGAAAGTTGCACTCATGCTCCTTGGACAGGAGAGAGAGGGCAACATTAACTTCCAAGATTAGCTTAGTTAAAGACAAGCATGGATTTGAACACCTCCGGTAGCTTATTTTTAAGACATGTAACAACATACTAAAATGGTTGCATCAGTCTATTGGTAATAAATTCATGCTACAGAAAATAAGGTACTCCAACCTTAGAAAGAGGAATCTTGGATTAGGGTCATGTGTATAGGTAGAAGTAAAATAAAAGTATAGTTTTGCAGCAGGCCTTCATCAGCATTGGTTACCCTGGTTTCCCCTTTATGCAGTCCCATGTACACCCCACTTCCCCTTCCCTTAGCCCTAGAAAATTCTGTACTCTGAGCAGGTAAGGACATAGTAAGAATAGAAGCAATCCATTTTGAGGGTACAACCTCTTCCGGTAGATTTAAGGCAAGTCATTTGTTTATGCAAATTTGGTTACATCTGTTTGGGGATAACAGGTACAGTTTCAGGTGTGTGCAAACGCACATGTAACAGAGGGTATTCTTAAACTGTAGGTCTGTACTGTCTCTTTTCGAGTGCATTCTGTGTTTTAGTAAGAGATGTTGACTCTCTTATCTGAGTTGATGCTTTCGTTGTGTAATAAAAGAAAAAAAAAAAAAAAAAAACAAAAACTAAGATTAGCTTCAGATCTTTTGAAAAATAGCATCCTATAATTTGGGTCCGTGTACCTACAAATTCCTAGCAGGCTCTGAGCCAAAGAAATGCACCGATGAAATAAACATATAAAAAGACAGCTGCATTTTGAAATCTAAGAATTGAGTTATATACCTTTTTGACAGCTTCCTGAATCACAGCCCATATCTAAGATGAGTAAATAGGTATCTGGCCCTTTAACTGGGTTCCATTTCATATAATTAAAGACTCCCAGAATTAAATGGCCTATATGGAAAGTGGCTTTCAGTGGACTAAATGCCTGAAGCAATCTCCTTGCCTGAGCATAGAAGTGACACTGGCTTATGGATCAATATCATCTCTGTTATTAATATCAAAAGCACATTACTTTGTTTTTGCCTGGCTGCGCTCCAAGCCTTGGGCCCAGCTCGCATTCAGGCATTTGCCTGGACCATAATTTACTTTCGTGAGTTTTTAAGGTATTGTTTTGTCAGGGCCAATCACCATGAAGTTATAAATGATTCTGAGGACTTGCACTCTCTGTTAGTGGCATATGCGGTGAAATTAATTTTTAAAAGTTTCACGTCAATTACTCCTGTCCTTGAGTTATGCAAGGGGACAAAAGAGCAGAGACTTAAAGACATGAGTGATATCAAACAGATGAGGTAACGACAAACAGAAACAGCAGCTTGGGACCAAATCAGACATTACACTATCTTTAATTGATGCATTGAATTAAACAATGCTAAAGCTAAATAAATATTGACCACTTAGCAAAAGAACCATTGATTTTTATGATGGACAACATTTACATCATATACTGCTCTGGTCTACAGATTCTAGGCTGCTAGGTTGTCAGCTCCGGCACAGATGTTCTCCAGGACAGCTTGTGCTGATGCTGGCTACCTTTCTAGAATTATTAAGGTAAATGTTAACAATTTCCCCCACTTTTCGTTTCCAAGGATTCCTTGGTTTTGAAGGTTTAAATTCTGCCAGATCTTTCTTCTCCAGTATCAGCTGCATTAGTGAACAGGTACCGTATTTTACACAGGTAGGTAGAGTTCTGCTGTGAATTATTTGTGGCTTGCTGACATGGCTAAAGGCACTAGCCATATCTAGTCACAAAACATCTGCCTCCTCCTTTCTTGGAGAAGGAAATGAGGGAAGATGCTCAATTTCTGTTAAGTGACAGAAATGTTCCCTGCATTGCAGTGGGCATTCCACAATGGCAACAGCTTCTCTCATACAATAAATCGCCCTATGCTATAAGCTGGGAAGGACTGATACTGTTGGACATCCTCAAAAGGGGTGACCTTTCCAAACACTCCCTGTAGCTGCTTTGCTGAAGCTGGCATGTTAATATTCAGTCTATTAATATTGATTTAATTACTTCAACATGCCATATGTTAATGATATGATATCTACCTACTCTGGACACAAACTCGGACAACAAAATAATTTCCTTACCAAGCAAGTGTTTACGTCTCTGTGACTGCTAATTGTAAAGATGCAGAGCTAAGCTGTATATTTTTTAAAAATAGCTACTTTATAGTTCTTCAGCATGAAATGTGCTCCTGATTGTTGAAACTTAACTAAATGCCAGTGATTGGCATTTTACATTGTCACAGAAAGGGAAAGTGTGAGATCTCTTCCTGGCAATACAAGGATTTAATTAAGGATAAGTCTATATGGTAGGTAATGCCAGCTTCAGTTTCATATAGCTTCCTGTGTCTGTAAGGACCACCAAGACACCAGTTAATAGATTATTGTTTCAATTAGTCCATGATTACTGCTGCTAATCTCTAATTCCTTATTGTTGTGGCTTCTTTTGACTTCGGTTATTAAGAAGCATTTGGATTTTATTACAATTGACAGGGACTCCAGCCTTCTCCATAGATAAAACACTGTCTGTTGCAAAAGAAATTCAGAAGTAATGAAAAGAGCCTTTTGAGTTTGTTTTTAGGGATTCTTAGAATTACATCATAAACACAATGTAGAATTCAATTAAGCTGGAAAATTGTAATGCTCAAGCAGGAGAGACTGGATTTCTTACAGAGATAAATCAAAATGTCTTTAATTAGTTTTCAGCTACAAACACAAGTCTAGCTTGGTAAAATGAAAAATGAAAAAATGAAGTAGCACAAAATAAGATAAAGGAATTATTGGTAATAGCAGGATGGGCAGATAGGTGAAGCATTCCTACACTCTGTTGAACACCTCTCAGCTTGCATTTCTGTGCATTGCACTAGTTTGACCTTGGAAATCTCAGTGGTTCAGTTTTGATGAGCACATGGCAGTACTGATGGTTGTCAGAACTTCAGTTGTTAACAATCTGCAAACTGTATGGAGAGCAGTTGGAAGGACGTAGATGGTGATCAAGACATCTTATGTCCAATATCATCTCTACAACTGGCTCAACTTGCAAGTGGAAGTAAATCTTCTAAAGCAATAGATAATAAATAAACGTTTTCCAAATGGGTATTTGCACATTTTCCATGTCCAGCATTGACACTGACTCAGTTTCAAATTGTCATTGCCTGTCTGACGCCGTGTTGGTAGCTTTAATTGCTGTTTAATCAAAACTCTGCAGGTCTCTGTCAAAGTTTATTGAAGGGTCAGGGTGAATTTGCCTCACAGTGGGGAAGGAACTGACCTGCATGCAGAATCAAAAGCTTGAACTGTAAGCAATATTAAGAGCTTCTTAGCTTTTGATACATACATCTCTAAACATAGAAAGATGCCACTCCATTACCTGATATTATACTGGGTTGCCTATTCACACCAAGCAGTAGGTGCAAATGAACACAAGTATTAATTTTTCCATGATGACATCGCAGCGTCTTTGTTAAGCTGCAGAGTACCTGAAGGGAGGATGTGAAGAAGATGGGGCCAGGCGCTTTTCAGTTATGCCCATTGACAGGACCAGAGGCAGCGGGCACTAACGGAAACACAAGAGGCTTCACTCGAACATGAGGAACCACTTTTTTACTGTGAGGGCAACCAAGTACTGGCACAGAGTGCCCAGGGAGGTGATGGACTCTCCATTCTTGTGGATATTGAAAAGCTGTCTGTACATGGTCCTGGGCAACTGGGTCTAGGTGGCCCTGCTTGAGCAGGGAGGTTGGACCAGATGACCTCCAGAGGAGGTCCCTTCCAACCCCAACAGTTCTCTGATCCTGTGATAAGCTGTTGAGGTGCTCCCATCTGACCGGCTTCAAAGTATACATACCTGGGTGGAAGTGGACTGAGAGGTAAGTGATGTGAGATCTAGAAGAAGAAAACAGGAAGTGATCTAAGGGGAAGAAGTCATCTAAGTGAGGAAGATTGTCAGGATGATTGAAAGAAATGTAATTTGAGTTATGTAAGGCTTCTGATGCTATATTGTAGCTCTTAAAGAGAAAGCAGTTGTACTCTTTGGAAGCTTGCAGTTCTCCCTGCAAATAGAACCTCAGATCACAATGTGGGTTTAACACCCAGAGAAGCACTTCATCTGTTACTTCAAAATGATTGGCAATTGACCATAAGCTGATGATGGAATCCTTCCTTTCCTCTGCTGGCTGTAATGTGGGTAAGAACACCAATGCAGGGCAGAGTTAAACTTCCTACAAGGCTAAAGGACCCTACTTCAGGTTTGTGTCTGCCAGAGCCTCCCATTGCTGGGAGTGGGCTGATGAAAACACTTCCCGTTTGAGTTAATGTGGCAGTTCATTTTCCTTGCAGCTTGTAGGATCTCCAGCGTTGGAGTAGCAGCAGAGGAGTTTACATCTGTGTTTAATTCTGTTGTACTGCAGAACTTGGTGGGAGGGAGGGAGCTGTGGGGTGTGTGAGGAGGAGAGAGGGACACTCTG